AATATTACGCCATAATTTGTACAGTGTATTTATAAAATTACAGTACAATATTGAAAACAGCAAAGCGGAAATTTGAAACAAGTCAACTGTATTGCATTGTAGGATACCAACCTTAAATACTGCGCTTGTTTTCTTGATGATGATACACGGAGATTCCATCCAACTTAAGGTTACAGGACACCGTTTTTGGCGTTTTGCAAAAACTCGCTACTGCGCGCTCAATATCAGTCCGATTTTCATCAAATTTTCACCTAATGTTCCCCAGTGCATGCAAAATATGGTAAAGTTGTAAAATTAACAAACAATAAAATAATGTAAGAATTATTCAGGAAAATCTTAAATCACCGTACCGTTACGCTTTTGAGTTGTGCTCGTGCTGGTTTTAAGTTATATTTATGAAAATATTATTTTTATACAGTAAAATAGTTGTTCTAAAAAATTGTGTTCGGAAATTTTTGTTTATTTCGTCATTCCGCTGATATGGCGATTTCTTTGACGGCTGCAATATATTTCTGAATTGTTTGAGTCAATTGCTCTTTATTATTAAAATATCCAAAATTAAAAAAAAGCCGAACAAAATTTTGAAACTGACGTCTTTAGCTATGTCTTGTGAAAATTTGAGAAAAATTGGTTAAAACCCGCAGGAGCACAACTGGTTTGAAAATCAGTAATTACCGTAAAATGTTTCGGGAGAAAATTGAATTTGAATATTACATTTTCAATGTATTTTTGTACATTTCAATGTAATTTTTTTAATTTTTTTGTCAATGTACATTTTCAATGTAATTTTCTTATTGCAACGAAATGTATTTTATTAAATAACTCTGCGAGTTTTCAACATTTTTCGTTCAAACTTGGTCAGATAGTAGAACTAGTCTAATGCTTTCATTGAAACCAATAAAAAAATTTTAGGCAAAATTAACACTCAAAGGTATTCTGTAACCTTAAAAAGAACAGCCTTGCTATTGGAAATAACACAATTTCTTCGCGGATTATTTATAAAGCTAGCTGCTCGAGATAAAGCTATAAAAAGACAGCACGTCCCATGCAATTTAATATAAGGTAAACTTGGTATAGTAACTCACACGTCATAATGAGGATCGCAACAATACAGCAATAACATGCTATTTTCACGAAGTATTGCAGCCTGACAATCTTGTCTTTCGAATGCTTTCATGTTTGTTTACTCAGAGAGATGCTCACTCCACGACAGTCAAAGAGTCATTGAAGCCACGCCTGGAATTAGGCGCTCAAACCCATGATGCTTTGCGGCCTGCTTGTCCAACCTCCTTTGGGGCTACGGGTACTTCTTATTCGCCAATTAGCATGTGGCACGCGCGTGCGAGAAAAAAACAAGAAAAACCCGATATTTTTAAAAACTCAAAATAAACATTTCTACTGGCTGTATTCAAATGAAATTTTGGATATAAAAGTGCTGGAATACAAGGAATATTTCACTCTTATTGATTTGAGCCGAACTCTGAAGAATTCACAAGTTATTTACGCTATTGTGGAAACAAAATTCCGAAATTTTGGCCAAGCGGTGAGTAAATATATGATTGTTTCTGTTTGTGTAATGCTTTGACGGCATTCGACCCCTCGTTGAAAAGGTTATTTTATTAGGATTTCAATGGTATTCTTTGTTTTAAAGGGGGTGAATACGTGCTGAGATATTTACGTTATAAGCAATTGAGTTGTAAAATCGTCAAAATGTCGCTTGTCGATAAAGAGTACACCAGGATTGATTTTTGGTAATCTCGGCGTTTCTGTAAATCATGCCAGAGAAAAACGTCTGGTAATTCTGTGCACTCTACAACTTTGCCTTCAATTATACCGGCAGCACGCCGATGGAGTTTCTGTAGGTATGCTTTACTACCTAGGCCACAACTATCCCAAACATTACAACAGTAATAAAACAAAGGTAAAAACTATAGCATTATAAAGAGTCATGGAAGCATTCCTATGGGTAGAATTTTGCATTCTTTGCGTAGCATGCCTAAACGAGAAGAAATATTTTTCCCTATGTACTCATGCAACATGCTCTTTCCAAGAAAGATTTTGATCTAGAACAACTCCTAGGTATTTAAACTTTTCAACTCTTTCAAGAACACGGCCGTTGCCATGAACTGTGAAATCACTAACTGGAGCACGTCGTTGATGAGTACCTATCAACATCAGTTTTGTTTTGTCGATATACAAAGATAAATCATAACCACGTAACCAACATGCAAGTAATATTAGCCAGGTCTAACGTTAAATTATGTTCGATAGTTGAAGCCGAGTCACTGGTAAAATAGAGAAGTGTGTCATCAGCATACAATTCAACATTGCAAAAGTTTATGGCTAAGGGAAGATCATTTACCTATACATAATAAATAATAACGTTCCTAAAACACTGCCCTGAGGCACACCAAAGCTGATAGATTGGGGCTCGGAACAGACACCGTTCATGCATATATATACTTTGTGATCTCTCTAACAAATACGATTTAAATTAAACCATTGCACGGCTGATCTATCAAAGCCAAAATTTTGCAATTTTTCTAACATTAAACTATGATCAAGCGTGTCAAACAACTTGCTAAAGTCCAAGAATACAAGTCCAGTAAGTAGGTCTTTATCAATATTGTTCAATATGGAGTTTGTAACATGCGTTAGACAGGTTGTAGTCGAATGCAATGGACGGAAACCAGATTGTAGTTGAGATAGGAGTTTGTTTTGTTGCAGGTGACTATAGACCATTTGATGTACAAAAACTGTTTGTACCAGTGTAGGTAGTACCAATGTGAAAATGCCGTGCTGAGTGGTTATATTACTACCTTAAAAAACAAGCAGAAACTCGACGTTTCGTGCGAAGGCCCTTCGGCTACTAACTCTTGACGAAGCGCCTTCGCTCGAAACGTAGAGTTTCTGCTGGGTTTTTTTAAGGTAGTAATATAACCACTCAGCACAGCATTTGATGTACAGCGCGTTCCAGGATTTTTGAGAAAACTGGCAAGAGAGAAATCGGCCTGTAGTTCGATGGATTGGTCCTAGCACCAGATTTATGAACAGGCGTAATAATTGCATGTTTTCATTCGGACGGAACCATACCCTCAGCCAACGATCTATTAATTAACACAGTTAGAGGCATTGAAAGAGCCTCGGCACCGTCTTTAAGAAGCCATTCTGTGATATCGGCGAAACCTGTAGATTTATTTATTTTTATAGCTTTCAATTGTTTAAATACAAAATCTTCAGTAACAGATGAGAGCTTGAAAACCGCTTCAGTGCTATTTTGGACCATCCTTAGAACAGGAGAAACAGTAGGGAGATTTTCTCTTTGGCGTAATATTATAGTTTTAAAATATGTTCCAAATTTAGCGCCCATCGCCGTTGCATCAGTTTCCACTGTGCCATCAATTTTAAGTGATTGGACTTGCGTGTGCCGTCTATCGAAAGAGATTGCAGACTTTAAAGTCTTCCACAATTTGGAACAGTCAGTCTTATTTTCTTCTATTAAGTTAGAATAATAAAACTCAGTTTCTATCGATAGTTTTAAGTTTTACTAAAATGTCAACATTATCGCGATTTATGGCCTTTGAAAGCCAGGCGAGATCGTATATTATCTAATTAATATACGCATGCAATAGACCTTTAACCTCATAACTAAAATTTTGATCTAGACAAAAATTTCATCACAGCTTGAAAGAGCATCACAAAATTAGTAATATTCCAAAGTTTCGTTACGAAATGTTGTAAAATGCGGATAATATAGCCCTGCAAAATTGGCAATTTTCAGTCATTTTAGATTACAAACGGGAAATTGATACCCAAACACCCAATTTGAATGTTACTAATTTTGTGATGCTCTTTTAAGCTGTGATGAAATTTTTGTCTAGATCAAAATTTTAGTTATAAGGTTAAAGGTCCATTTTCTGAACGAAAATATAGACTAGCCCATATACCTTTCGCCAATCATATAACTTCGGCCCCTTGGACGTATATGGTGGCCCATCGTTCTCGTTGAAAAAAAACACAAGATGAAAGGAACATTATGTAAAAAAAAATCAAAATAAAAAAATAATAAAAAAATAATAAAAAAATTAAAATAAAAAAAAAAATTATAAAAAAATTAAAATAAAAAAAATAATAAAAAAAAATTTAAAAAATTAAAAACCATTAAAAAATAAAATAAAAAATAAATAAAATAAACAAAAAAAAACCACAAAAAAATAAACATAAAAAAGAAATGGGAACATGCCAATTTCAATTTGATTTTCACATGTTTCTAAACGAGAACAATGGGCCGTCAAAACGTGTTTTTAAATTCAAAACGAAATTCAAATGTTGCTATCAGTCCAGCGTTCTCTTAGCCTGCGATTCATCTGGTCAGCGTTTTTCGCGCGTGTTAATGATTGTTTACTGTTTAGCGCCATTTCGTTTCGATTTTACCCTGATTTTACCTATTAAACTGCCAGTAATTTCGTTATGAATGATTTATTATACTATTTTATATAAAGTGCATATTGTCTAAATAACTTCAGCGTATGTGAACAATGAAGCGCAGGCCGCCTGGAATAAACTTAAGGAGCAGATGAGTGGTAAGAGAATCCGAAATGACGTATCACGTAAAAATAAGAATGGGTCAACACCACATGAAATCATTGTGCAGCGATTGGTGTCAGAAGCGGATAACAAACAGACGTATCGCCCTATCCAACCGCGGGAGTCTGTCGGCTTCGAGTTCGAAGATCTCTCCCTGGTCAACATAAAGAAAGCTTGCGCAGTACATTTCAATCTCCCTGCCAGTACTTGTGATGTCCTAGTGTCAAACAAGGGTCCTTCCTGTACTCACATTTCGCAAATTCCCCATAGGAAAGATAAGGTATATATTTCGTTAGAATACTTATTGAAAGTAGATTATTTCCCAATAGATAATTCTTTTTCATGTATTTTTCTGTGGGGTCATTATGCACCTATTAATGTTAAGCCCCAGAGGAGGGGGAGGGGACAGCGATTTGTGAGGCGTTTGTGAATTTTTGTGCGAATTTGCAATAAAAAATTACTCTATTGCACTTACAGACTATATATAGTGGAGCTCCAGAAGGTCATAAAGACATCAAACATGGGTTATTTAATATGACAAATTATGACATCCGCTCAAGTTAGATGTGGACACAAAATTGAAATACAGCACAATTTATTCTTACTTGCTATAATTCTAGTTTGTAATCTTTAACACAAACCGTTTTTTGATATGACCCTAATCAGTCAATTTGGAAAACAACACATTTGAGATTTACCTGGGTGAGCATTGAATGGCGCCCAATTTTTGTTAACCAATGCAGACAATTAAAATAATGTGAAAAACAATTTTTTCACAATAAAATAACCCTTTACAAAGCAAATCTACCATTATTGTGCTTATCCACCTGCACATAAGTGATGGATATTTCCATGCATATATTTGATTGTGAGAGTACTTATGGCTCCTGTCATGCATGTACAGAAAATGCATAACTTTATATATACCTGTACCATATACAGTATTACAAGTATTCATTTTATATCATATAATATATACTACAAAGCAGGACTTTTTGAATTTTTATTTTAAAAGGCCTATTTGAAATGTTTTGTGGTCAGCTTTGAAAGTAAATGTCAGTGGTTTGCATTAATTTTATATGTTTCTTATTTACAGGTATATCTTGTGAGATTTGTTGTTCTTCAGGAAGATCAAGTTGAAGAAGAATATGAAATAAACACCAGTAAAGTTAACAACTTATCAACTTCCACACCAGGAAGTTTGTGCCAGAAGAAGCCTGAAGGAACAAAGATATGTCCATCATCAATTTCAATTGCCTCATTGCTAAAAGCAGGTAAATTGGTAAAACCCCGAGAGAAAAACAAGGTAACTCTTGCTCTGGAAAATTTTGATCAGGCGCGTAGCCAAGGGGGAGAGCCATGGGGGGTCCGGACCCCCCCCCCCACTTTTTGTAAAGATCAATATTGTAATTCTTCCAAATATGAGAAGAAACTGGGGGGAGGGGGTTGCAAGTGCAAATATTTTTAAAGAAATCAATTGTCGTCATTAAATTGAAATAATTCCGTATTTGCGTTCGCAGGCTATCCAGTATGTTATGTATAGCTTAGTTTGATGCAACGCTTCAGAACATCTTCAAAGAGAAGAAATATATTTAGTGACTGCTGCAGATGCGGTAACGTCGCTAATCGCTAGATTTTCTTCTTCCGGAATGAGGAATAATTTGCCGAGTTTTGCGTACTGCTGAATCGAAAGCAGTCGAATTTCACGTTGAAGATTAGAGATCCCAGTAACAAACGCCGCAGAACGCTTCCAAATCGTCTAGCTGATGGACCGTTGATGAAACATTGCTTGATGTATCATTCAGTCACCACGTTGCCTCCTCAACTCAAAACAGCACAACAGTGTCAGCAGAAAGTAAATTTCGTACTGATTTTAACTATTGTCTGCTTGATCTGCTGCTGAGGGAGCTGTAAAGATTTTCAGTATTGGTAGAATTATCTGCATTCAATCCAGCGCGTTGGAGTGATAATAATATAGACTTTACTATTTAGGACGGCAACGCGACGGCAACGGCTACCAATACAATAAATTATTGAAAAGAATTGAGTAATTACAATATATGAATAATTTAGTCATCGCTCTGTTTACAACGCGAAATCACAGATTTTCACGTCTTGATACAACGGCTGCATTTCAAGCCGCAACAAGTGCAACTTCAAACTGGGGTGAAAGAACCTAATCGTTCTAAGAACCCAAAGAGGGGTGAAAGAACCATTACCTTCAATTAATATTAAAGAAGTTTGGTGAAAGTGATTACGCTGGCCTTTACCTAAACCTTCACAGAATCATTTGTACATTGCAGCCATAATTCCGATTGCAACAGCTTCGTGCGAAAGATGCCTCAGCAAAGTTAAAATTATCAACAATTAATTACACGAGGGCAACCATGTTTGTAGCGAAAGAGATGTAGCCGTCTACTAGCCGAAGATATTAAGTTGCATTCTCTTGTGGATAGATTTGCTTTGAAACCTAGGAAACTTCCACTATCATATCTAAAAGTTAGATGAAAGCGGTTATATTTCTGAAAACGGAACACAAATTAGGTTCCCGTTCGTGTAAATGTTGTATAATATGTGCATGTATCATTTCAAAAAGAAAGTGATTTTAAAATGCATTAAAGCATTTCTCAACTTAGTAACAAGTTCTTAAAACTTTCTTTATCTACTAATTTGACGTGTCATATTATTACTATTAGTTTATTACACACATGCTTTGTTAATGTATCTTGTAAATATTTCATCTATGGCATAAAATATACCAAATCTGTGGCATATAGATCACCAAAAAGCCACGCCAAATATGCACGTGGGAGCGTTTCGCTAACATTAAAATTGAAAAATTTTCCGGGGATTACGTCCCCGGCTGGTGACTACGTCCCCGGCTTTCAGAACAGTACTTTTATGTACTTGGCACTTTAGACCCCCCCCCCCATTCGTATGGGGCTGGCTACGCGCCTGATTTTGATGTGTCAACTCAGCAATGGGTAGAGGTAGCTGCTGAAGAATTTGCTATTGACACCCAGAAATTTTCTAGTGGTGCCTTTCGTGATGCATTTCGTGCCTCAACTATCAAGCCAACAAAATGTGAAGATTGCGTGGTGAAAACCTATAATGATGATGCAGTAAAAACCATACAAGAGACGGCCAATAGTTCTATAGAGGATCATTGCCGTAAACAGGTTCAAATGCACAGTGTGGCGAGGCACATTACACAAAGGTTCAAGGCTAAAACTCCACCGGGTTTTGGAGAGTGTTTTGATTACAACCGCTGCTATTATACAATGTACAATGGCAAGCCAGTTACTGTTGAAGAGTATGCCCCTGGTTCATTTTATAAACTCATTAATAATGATGGAGAGTATGTTTGTGATGTTACTCTGAGTGCATATCCACACCGGGCGAGCTTGAAAAATATGCCCGGCCACGGTGGGATTCGAACCTACGACCTTTGGAATACCAGCCCAATGCTCTTCCAACTGAGCTACGCGGTCAGGACGGTTCGAGTAAGTGATATTTCGGAATAGTATCTAGTTCCTTCAATACCAATGTGTTCTTGTAATATGAATTTTTTTCTGTGTTGGTGTTGTGTACTCAGGTGAATAATATGTGATACTCAGGTGAATAATATGAAAAACATATTATTCACCTGAATACACAACACCAACACAGAAAAAAAATCATATTACAAGAACACATTGGTATTGAAGGAACTAGATACTGTTCCGAAATATCACTTACTCGAACCGTCCTGACCGCGTAGCTCAGTTGGAAGAGCATTGGGCTGGTATTCCAAAGGTCGTAGGTTCGAATCCCACCGTGGCTGGGCATATTTTTCATGCTCGCCCGGTGTGTATATGCACTCAGACCAACACAGAAAAAAAATTAATGATGGAGAGTGTTTAACACCAACCGATGATTCAAGTCCCCACCTAAAAGAGCTATTTTCTAAAACTGAATGTTTGGTTTACTACAGTTGTGTATCCACAAAAGAAAAATTGATGATTTTAGATATACAGGGTTCAGATTACGCCCTGTATGATCCGGAAATTTCAACCGCTGAACTTTTTGATGGAGACACAGCAGAACTGTACTTTTGTTGTGGAAACTATTCATCGATTGGAATACAAGCCTTCCTCAAATCACATAAGTGCAATAAATATTGTAAACTTATTGGTGTATGTGATAAATGATTGAACAGGATGTTAAAGACTTTATACAAAGCAATTGTTATAACATTGTTCATTTTAAAGTTTTGTTCATTCGCTTCATTGACAAACTTTTAGTATTTGACCATGTTGTTCAAGCCATATAGTGACAAAAGTTGTTTGGGGGATTACAATGGTGCCAATTAAATAATCAATAATGCTATATACCGGTAGTTAAATTAATTACAGTCAAAATAATAATAATATGTTGTTTTTTGGGCAACCCCCCTCAAATTTAATTCTGCAGTCTGAATGGATCAATCATATCAAGGAATAAATTTACAATTACTTAGACTAATGCCACCAAATTGTCGATTGTAATTAGCAATTTGAACAAACTGCATGGTAACAGTGGCATAACCAGGGTCTTAAGTTGGGGAGGGGATTTTGAATGCTGATTGCTGAAGGTGTGAATACCACTAGAGGTGTGTGGGTTGCTCCCCAGAGAATGTTGAGTCCATCAAATACAAGAAATTATCTTTCACATACCCCCCCGAAATTCTATATGTGAGAGATAATTCCTTGTATTTGATGGACTCAACATTTTCTGGGAGCAACCCACACACCTCTAGTGGTATTCACACCTTCAACATTCAGTATTCAAAATCCCCTCCCCAACTTAAGACCCTGGTTATGCCACAGTTACCACACAGTTTGTTCAAATTGCTAATTACAATCAACAATTTGGTGACATTGGTCTAAGTAATTGTAAATTTATTCCTTGATATGATTGATCCATTCAGACTGCAGAAATTTGATATGAAAAATTGAAATCTAACTTCCCAAAAAAATACTGACCAGCGTCTCTGAAAACGTAAGTCAATGTATATATACATTACTATACAACCAACTCCATACAGTCCTGTGAGATTTATATTTGAGCCATTGTATTCACTGATAACTCATTAACTTGACTGTAAATGGAGAGTCACAGTTATCAATTTCCTGCATCATTTCTATAATATTTTTTTAGGACAATAAAAGTGGTTGCTGCATCTTGTGGTTTCACATTGTCCAATTCTGGAATAACCCTTTCACATTCCTGTCTAACAACCTGTGACAAGTAATCATCTCCTACATCCATTACTCCAGATAGTTGGGCAACTTCATCAATAGCTTGTTTCCTCAGTTCAAAACCTGTTGATGAACAATCAAAAATCGCCACATGAAAATGACAAAGTACTGTATTTCTGAAAGATTAATCATTCAATTGTAATTCCATACCACAATGTTCAGCACCATATTTTTCTGGGAATGAATACAGATGTCAAGGAACACCTTTGGGCATTTGGGCATCCTTCTGACATCTGACCCTGTGCGAATTCCATATTGTGTCCTTGAAAATATTCAATTCCTTTTGTATGAGAGGGATGAAAACAAATGATATCAGATCCCTAATAGTAATAAAAAAAATTAAACACCAGTTAAATTCCACACATCCATCACAATACTTTTGATCATAATAAGCATGCCTTTGACATTACCAGAATATTTTAGGAAATATTACATTATAAACTCTGCAATTTAATGGGTTAAGAAACTGTAGCCGCAGATTGGGTTTCAATTAAAATGCATACACTACACTAAGAATAATTTATAGCAATGAATAAACACATGCATGAAGCGAGAAAAGCGAGAACAGTATGTAAAACAAGCCAGATGGCCAGACCACAAAACAAACCTACCGATCAGTTTGACAATCTGGATCATAATATCCCTGTTCAAGAAGCATCAGTAATTATCTTTTAAAGAACTTCTCTAGACGGTGATGAATTACAGACATAGAGTTATAAAAGGTCAATATTTGATTGTACCTTATTGTTAGTTGAAGGACCATAGTGCACAGTATCACCATCACTGGAGGAGGGGTCCGCATCCTTAATTAGGAATGCATGTATAGTGGACATATCTACAGTCTCAGTCCCTCTATCTAATCTTAAGTGCTTGCTTATAACTGTAAACAAGAATTGTTTTGTTATTAGAAAAAAATTTGATGGGTAAAATAAATATTAAAATATAAAAGTAAAATATATATTAAAGTTTTTATGCTGGGAGTGCATGCAATTCTTATGAAGCAATGACCACTATAACTAGCTCTATAAGGGAGGGGGTACAAAATATTGCTTCATTCATAAAACCTTTTATACATAAGTAGAGAGAGAGAGGATGATTAATTTTAGTGAAAATTTTTACCAGGCCAGGGACAAACGAATTGCATAAAGTATATTATTTGTACAGTTAGTATATATTAATTAAATTACCTCTTGTATTATAAAGATGCTCCAAATACCATCGTCCAACAAGCTTGGGGTTAGAATTTGAACTCCACAATTTCAAATATAGGATGTAACCACTAAATACATCTTGCATACCATAAACTGCCAGGGGAAAGGTGTCTTTCATAAATCCCATTAGCTTATCATGTCCATCACAAGAATGTGTACGATTAGGTCCCTATTTTTAATAAAGATGTTTTTTTAAATTTCGTTATAATATTCCACATAAAATATTTATTTGGGGTGTGTTTTGAAGTATGTACTTACTATTAAATGCCACTTAAAATAAGCATTAATGCCCATCTGAATATATGTTAAAGATGGCGCCATAGCAAAAATATAGTTTTAATAAAACATTTTATGGAAAGCTATTAACGTTTCTTCTTTAACTTAAGACATATATTCAATGTCATCACTTTGTATGTCATTGCTCTCATTAAATGTTTTGAACTATATTTTTTGTTATGGCCCTTTTACCTATTTTCATCTGCAATGCTACATTGGTAATGTCTATGACTCTATGGAGTTCTGCTTTGGTACGTGCTGGATATTGGGTTAATAGAAATGTGTCTAATAACCTATTAACTATATAATAACCTATTCATCTACCAAGCACCAAAAGCAGAGCTCCATCTTTGTTACAATTCTATTTTTTATAGCATTGAATAGAAATTTCTTACCAGTGACGTGAAGGTGCCAGTTGCTCCCCTTCTTCGTCTCTTCACCATAATTTGTGAATTGCTTTATAGTATGATCGAGGATTCGAGGCTGTCGAGCGAAATATATCCCTATATTTTCGTACCCACACAACGGGAATTTTTCTCTTCGCTACATATTACACTTACAGGAGTTAAATATACCCACAAATACAAAAAAACCCTTTCAAATCGTCCTTATTTTGCGATATTTTCGCTTGTTTATATCGCACACGTGTATACACTTTGAATAGCAGAGTGCGAAAGTTGTGCGAAAGTTGTCCGAAAAAATGCAAAATTGGTCATGTGACAGCAACATATTTTTCATAGCAGTAAACGTGGATTCTTCTCAGTTCCATTCACAGCTCACTAGTCGCTGTGAGTAATCACTGTGCTTGATATAATTTGTGCTGCTTACTGTAGTTCTATTTGCTTTTAATGCCCGCATCAATACCTACCTTGCAGGTACCCTAGTTATAGTTCTATTAAACAAACCAAAAGGAACCAAAACGGAAAATTACTTGCGCGAATTTAAAGCTGCGTGAACAAGTTTCGCGAAATTGGAATGCGCGAATTTAAAGCTGAGCGAAAATGAGTATACGACGCGAATTTTAATACAAGTAAGGTATACAATACATGGATTTGAAACATCTAACCATATATTTATGATACGTTATCCCAGGAAGCAGGCTCATGAGCTGTTGTAATTCTAAACTCTGTTAATATACATGTAAACTACAATACATACATACATACATACATACATACATACATGACTTTATTTAGAACACGGAGAACCATCAGTACATTTTATGAAAATTATCTATTTACAAATAAAAGCAATTAATATAAGTTAGGAAGAAGACAAGATTGAAGGGAAGAAGGAAAGGAGGAGAGGTACTGTTCTACCTGGTTGCCGTGTGGGAGTCGGTAGGACTGGAAGAATATAGAGATTCCAGACTTCCTTTAAACGAGGAGAGGGATGATGATAATCTAAGAGATTCAGGCAAGCAGTTCCATAGTGATGCTCCACTATAACTGAAGGAGCGCTTAAGATAATCAGTATTGGGCTTAGGAATAAACAACTTGCCATTAGAATTTCTTAGTAAATATTGACAATTTCTGAATGAAAACAATTCTTGTAAGTACTGGGGAGATTGACCATTTAGAGTTTTAAACATAACAACAGCTTTTTGCTTTTGACGGTTAATCGACAAAGTGTTCCACTGCAGCTGATCTAGAAGTAGACTAGATGAAATATCGTAAGAAGAACGGGTAATAACACGAGCTGCTCTGTTTTGAAGTTTTTGAAGCCTATCACTTAGAGTTACTCCGAGGCCGTCCCATACTGGGGCACAATAGGAAAAGTATGGTTCAATAAAACCTTCATAGGCTTTAATAGCAGTTTCTTGGTCAATCAGCCCGCGCACCCGTTTTAAAGCTCCAATACCAGAAGAGATCTTTTTAGTGATGACCTCAACATGGTTTCTCCAAGTAAGGTTTTCATCCAAGGTTAGCCCCATGGTTTTAGTTGAACTAACTTGCCTCACTGGCACATTGTCGACCGAGACACTTGGCTCGTAATTATTAAAAGTTGCTAAACGCTGACGTGAACCAATGATCATGAACTCAGTTTTAGCAATATTCAAGCTTAATTTGTTGGCTATTAACCATCTGTTTAGGTTAATCAGACTAGAATTCATCAGAAATTCAAGGTGAGATAAATTATCACTACTAAAATTTAGGTTGGTATAGTCAGCAAACATCCTTGCGAAACCCTCATTCAGGCAGTTTGGGAGATCGTTGATATAAACCAAGAATAGCAGAGGCCCGATTATTGAACCCTGAGGAACTCTCCTGGATGTAGAAGAGATACCAGAAAACTGACCGTTAACAAAACACTTTTGCCTACGATCAGTTAAATAGGATCTAAACCAAGATTGTGCCAAGTCAACCACACCATATGCTTTCAACTTTGAAAGTAAAATGTTATAGTCAATAGTGTCAAAGGCCTTCTTCAGGTCAATGAAGACTACGCCGTTTAAAAGACCTCTAACGATATTGACACACCAGTTATTAGTTGCTTCTAGTAAAGAAGTGAGGGTGCTGTAATTAGACCTAAAGCCAGATTGATAAGGATTGATAAGCTGATTATCAGTTAAATATGCATAAAATTGGTCATAAACGAGCCTTCCAAAACTTTTAGCAATTGCAGAAATGATTGAAATAGGTTGATAGTTGCCAAGATCACCTTTATCCCCATTTTTAAAGATAGGTAAAACTCTAGCCATCTTCCAATCATCCGGATAAATTCCCATGGAAATTGAGCGATTAAAAATGGCTGTGAGTGATGGAGACAAAATCTCGGCAGCTATTTTCAAGACCTTACAAGGAACATTATCAGGACCAGTTGCTTTATTAGGATTAATGGATTTCAGAGTTTTGATTACAGTCTCAACATTTATTTCAGCAAATGAAAATGAGCTATTGACTGGGTTTATATAAGAAATAGGATTTACATCTGAGCTAGGTAGATTTTTGGCAAGGTTATCGCCTATCGTAGTAAAGTAGGTATTGAAAGCATTTGCTATATCAGCTGAATTCGTGATCTCTGCTCCGTCATGTTTTATAGTTTTCACATTTGTGGTTGCATTGGCTTTGCGTGAAGAAAGTTCATTAATAAGTCGCCACGTTTTCTTTGGATCATTTTTGGCTGTATTAATCCGCGTCATGAAGTAATCTCGTTTCGACTTTTTAATAAGCTTATTAGCTTCATTGCGAGCTTTTTTATATCGAGACCAAATTTGATCGTTAGGATTTTTATCAAAACGTTTTTTGAGAGAGTCTCTTTCGCGTAATTTATGAATTAGCAATGAGTTAATCCACGGAGATTTTTTACATCTAAGCCTTTTGGTTAGAACAGGAGCATGAATGTCCAAAATATCTGAAAATTTGGTGAACCAGGCTGTCCACATATCATTAGGATTGTTTTGTGAGTTTATATCGGACCAATTTATTTGTCGGATATCATTTAAAAATTCCTCATCATTAAAATTTTTCATTTTATAATATATCGGAGTGTAACTATTTCTATAAATTTCATTTACACTACTCACTACTCTTTATAGACTACAACAGGTCTACAACTAATAATTACATGAGCAAAGTCTAAGATATAAAATATATAGGAGATTAACTAACATATTTCCACGGTGGTTGGTTGCTATGCATTTTGCTCCCGGAAGCGCGGGCTTCGTTTTTTCCAGCGGTGTTGGTGTGAATGCGAAATGGCGTTGTTATTAACCTTATAATCGGAAAGGTCATGTATTTGGCTTAAAATTTCTTGCGGTTAAAACAAATTTGTTGGGTATATTTTAACTGATTTAAAACTTCTATACTTAAATGGAACAATTGTGATAATTTTATTTAGCTGTCAAATCAGTATTAACTTCCCTCGAATAACTCTAGCCTGCGCCGCAGACGATATATCAAATTTGTTCCCGTATAGTTTATCTTTCATATTTATATCATTGGAACGCAAACCAATGTACAAACCGTTCTTCTTTTCGCCTAAAGTTGTGTTTCTTCATTAGTATATGCAGGTAATTTTGGGGAAATTATCTGATGCTGCTAATACAGAACATATATCTATTTAATGTAATATACCGACAGCCAGACAGAGAAACATACTGACTGTTTTGGTTAGTTGCGTCGACAAATCTAGCTATAGTTCTCGCAAGAATTTGTTTGTTGAATATGTTCTATTATAAAATGCTTTCATTTTATATTTGTGTATGATATATTTTTGAGATATTCATATATAAACACATAGTTCCATTGTATAGATGACAATATATATAGCAGATTTAGCTACAGTGCAATCATACCTGCGAAGTATACTACAGCCTACTACAGTTTATAATTTATACTGCATGCGCAAGATCCGTAACCGCATAAAATAATAGTAACATACAGTATACTAGTGATTTAAACTCCTTAAGATACGCAGCTTTCCCTGAAACAGATTTCATGTCTTTGCGCACACTTAATTTTATCATTTAGTTACAATTCCGAACGTTTTTCATGATGGTTTTCCCGTAGACCACTATATATCAGATTACCAAGGCATGTTGTCTTTAATAGCGAGAAAACGGCTCCCTCATCGCCGCTTAAATAAAGGCATGTGCAACTGATTCCTTTTGTAAACTATAACTCAGTCTTCTGTAGTTATATTAATGTAAATAAAACTTGTGTAAGGCAAACAATAAGCTTTTATCGCAGTCAAGAAATCAGCTAACTCAAGACGCGCAGCATGAGGTGAAGTAAACAAATATGAACCTCATGTGACTTGCATGACAGATCTCCTTGGCCTTCTATGAGTTAAAGAACAGAACTTTTCCCCCAAAACTATCGGGCAGTCGTCTCTGTTTGTTGCATTCTCCTGGATGTCCTTCATTTCGATCACACGTTTGACTTTTATGGCAATAATCTATCGAGCTAGAAAGGCAACACAGCGGGAAGTGAAGCAACAACATGGCGTATCGTGAACGCGTATAAAATGCAAATGTATTCGTTAAAGAGACTTTTTACCACACCTTTCTCCGGTACTGCTATCCATTTAGACTTGTTAAATAAATGCTATTCTTTAACTTTGCCTTGAAAAGTCTCTCCCAAATCAAGTTTCAACAAAAATATTTAAAAAAAACAAGGAAAAATGCCGAATTCTTAGCTATTTCTGTTAATAATTCCGCCAATACTCAGAACCCAGGAGGGTTTTCATGGGGGGATTGTAGGCCATGCACGTGCTGTGGGACCCCTAGATAGTACAATTTGTCTTTCTCGGCATGATTCTCATCGCTCAAAATGCAAAAATACATGGCTACAACAACACCAACATTTTGCCGTTTTCAAATAACTGTATAGGTAATTTGTGCAGACGAGCTAATAGACGGTTCGATGTAGTACAGATTGAGCAAGTATCGTTTTAAAACGTAGAAAAATAAACGCAAACCGGAGCACCAAAGACGCAGTATTTGAACCGCGCCTTAATTCACAGCTAGGAAACTGGAAACCAATATACGCGCGCAATTTGACTCCGGGAGCAAACTGCATAGCAACCGGCCATCATGTTCTTAATATAAACACACATGGCATGCCAATGGCTATCAAATAGTGTGAGTGGCCATTGATATTGTTCTGCATTTTTATAATAATACGTTTCATCAGCAAATATATGGTAATATATTCGAGACGCATGAACTGTGTAAAATTCGATATGTTATTTACATATTTAATATACTATTCATGAGACTGACCTGACACGGAGGTGTTTCAAACAGTGTTGTCTTCACAGTTCACATCGCGGGAAATGCAAATTATGCCAATAATCGCACACCAAAAGCTTTCGATCAGCATTCTTTTGCGCACCTTTTCGTTAAATGAAACACGTTTACATTCATTCATTATACACAGAATGAGAAGATCGTGGAGTCCTGTAGAAGCCATATCTTTCTCCTTGGAACGAGTGGCGATCAATTAAAATTTACCGACTATTCGATTACAACGAGGAGCCGACACAACAATAACAAGCCAGCATCGCTCTGCAGTCGATGCGACTATTGCAAACAGTAGCATTTTGCCTCATTCTGATTGGCTTGCTTCGTCTGACCGTAGCAAACCAATCAGCACCGCCGTATTTGCGAATTTTTGCAACGGTCAGTTTCAATCTGACCACTGCAAAAATTTCCAAATACAGCGCTATGATTGGTTTGCTACGGTTAGACGAAGCAAGCCAATCACAATGAAGCAAATGCTACGACTTCAGAACGATGTGATATAGTACTAGTGCAAAACCCGCAAATACAGGCAGTATCTCGGGCAGAAATTTGAGAGAAACCCGAATTTAATTATCCAAAATGAAATAAAAACTCGATAAAATTGTATCAATATGATTTAGTAAATTTTAAAAAAATTGCACCAAGTTTCAATGAAAAAATTGAAAATAACGGCAATTAAAAATAGTATAACGTTTTAGTTTTTAATAACTTTAAAAAAGGTACAACCTGGAAAAATATATGTCAGGGAAAATCTGACCGTAGCATATGCTACGGTTGCAACGGTCTGAATCCGCCCCTGGTGGTAATACAAGAAAATGTGGCCATGATCCATTAAGCGAAGAAGACCAAAACAAACCCTGGTTGGAGAAAGGATCCCCTGCACTCTAAGCACTCACCAAGATTGTCATGGATACTCTCTTCCTGAACACACTTGTGTACTACACTAATTTCAGATATAATCAGGTTCCATATGTTTGAATTACTGAATTAGAATGCAGCATTTGCATTAGAATTCAACTAATTTTTAACTAATTTTTATTCCATTTCCTAAACTTGTAGACACACTGGGTTTTTAGAGTCGTTCCATAATGTTATTTTGATGTATGCTCCCAAACGTCATGCATACTTGTAAGTATTTGGGCAAGTAAACTATTTGGAAAATATACCTTTTTTCCCAGGGAAAAAAATTAGCTTTACAGTACATTGTACATATTGTATACTTTAATTTAAAATATGCAGTAATGGTAATAAAACTTGTTTATCTGTAGATTTCCAGTGTAGCGTGCCAGGAATCAACTTGCTGCATTGGATTTCAACCATCACAAAGACAGATATATCGATATCGAAAAAAAAGGCAAATATCGAGGCCTAGAAATATTGCATCGAATGAAAAAGCTGGTATCGCCCATCCCTATGTATAGGAGATTAATTAAATTTATAGAAAACAGTAAAATATTAAGCAAGCACCAATACCTCAGAGAAAATAGATCTCATGCAGTCATTGAACTTGCCAATAGAATTACTAAGGGACCGGTCATAAAGTATCTACAACCCCGGGGCGGAGGGTATTGTGATGGGGTGTGAAACTTTTCCCCACACATTTGATGGGGCACAAAATATTTTGACAACAAATTGATGGGGTACGAAATCTTCAACAAAGACTAATATAGTAATATTAAAATACTTCGACTGCATCAACTACGGTATGGTCCTCAAGATCTGTCACTCATATAAATTTGTTGTCACTATTTTGTAAATTTAAATAAATATAAATTTACATTTCTACAATATATAAAATGTGCCATATAAAAGAGTATAACCTTCAGTACACAGGTGTCAAATGTAATGACAACAGACTTATATCAATACATTGATATATTAAACAACACTTGACCGTGCTTCAAACATTATCCATAAATCTAAATTTTAAAAATAGAAATGGATAGTACTAGGCTGTCAGAAGTAAATCAATTTGGGGGCCAAGAATTTTGCTTTACATACAAATGGAAATTGATGGGGAGGGGGCTCAAAACCCCAGCCCTCCCAACCCCCAACGGCCTTGTAGTATCCTACTGTTAGTTACACTTATCTTCTTCAGCCAGAGATGTTTTATTTTGTGAAGAAAAGAAGTTAAATAATGGCTGCTGACATTCCTCTTCCTTTCTTCTTTCCTTCACTTTCACATTCTTCTCTTTGACATCTTGTTTCCTGTTTTTCATTTTAACAAGAAACTCATTAACAATCTTTATCGCATCTTCCTCAAAAAATTGATTATCCATCAAGAACTGCACAGTATCCAAATGGAATCTGGAGGTTAAAACACAGTTTATGTCAATTTTTTCAGCTGGTATTTTTCTTTTCCTTTTCCAGTTCAGCAAAATCACACTTGCAATTTGTTAACATTTTCACAGTTTCTTGGGTCCTGATGGTGAATCGTTTCTGTTTTTCTTTATCTGACTTCATTTTGTTCTGTTCACTTCGCATTTTTTGCCTCTTTGCTTCAGCATTCTGATCACTTCTATTGTCAAGTTCACATTTCCTATAATGCTTGAATGCGCACTGTGCACAATCTTTAGCAGGCTTTCCAAGCTACTTTTCTTGGCATCCAAAAATTGAAGCTCGTTTGCTTTCCAAAGTTTCACATTGTTATCAGAGTCAAAGAGTTTTGATCTGAGTTCCATCACATACTTGAGCCTAACTTGACATTCACTTTCCAGTTTTTCAATTAGTTTCTGAGAACTTTCTGCTTTGGACTTGTCTCCTGGTTTGAAGTTAGACAGAGTATTGCTAAAGCGAGCAACATTTATGGCATTCCCATCCTTGCTATCTGGGTCTATTATACTCATTACTCTTTTTCTTTGCTTCTCACAATCTTTTGTTATCTTCCAACGAACTGTCCACTGTGAAATTATATACTCTTTAAATTGAATTGGAGCCATTAAATCATATGATGAATTGTACAGCTCTTCCAATGTTTGGTTAAAAAATTCCAGCTGGTCAGTTAAATGATTTGGAATCCACAAGTCCTTTGCTAACTTTGGCCCTGTGTAAAAGATGCAAATGGTTCTATTAAAAATAAGTAAGCCTATTTGAATATTCACTGGAAGGGGAAAATATATACAACTTTTAATATTAACAATATCAACTGAGTTATATTAAAAACTAAAAATATGTATTACTCAATAATATAAATATAGCAATTTTTGGATTTGGGTAGCTAGATCAATAACATTTTATATATACATACATTTTGAAGGATCAACACGGCCTTTCTTCTCTGTGGTGCCTTGTTTTCCACCAGCATCTTTTGAACTACCAAGCCCGTGATCTGTTTTGGAAGCTTCGATTTGTACAGCGGCTATAAATCTTTGCTTATGGCCTGGCTTTGTATCAAGGCCAACATCCTTCAAAAAACTTTCGATTTCCTCGACGTTTTTTGTAATTTGAACGATTTGGCCCAAATCATCATAGCCTTGTTCAGAAAAAATACTAAAATACTGACTAAGATTACATTTATCAAGAAAGATTCGCACTTTCTCGCTCTGATTTGCCGAGGATATAAAATCAGTCTCAGCAGCCATCTTGATTCTTGATCTTGAGACTAGTGTGGCAAACGCTATAACACAACTACACGAAGTACGCACGTATAACAACAAAATGCGGGCTCTAATTGCTTAGATTTACATATTTTGAAATAATTTCCGCATTTATGGAAATGAGTTTCAACAGCAAAAATAGTTTACGTTCGGAAACACGGAATCAGTCAGAATATTCTGAATTGGTTCTCGTTTCGCAGCAGACTTGTTCACTAGATGAAAATGAGAACTTATTATCCGCAAAGATCGATCACTTTGAATCCAAGGATAGTGAACCACTGTCCCCCCAAGATGATTTCCCACAACCAGTTTATACTACTCAAATCAAGAGAAACGGACCTTGAGATTTTTATTGAAGAACTGGTCAAGCATTCTCATGACGAAAAGTCAGAGAACAGGCTCAATGTTACGCCAGAACTGGTTGATGATCTTCTTGAGAATATGGACACCTCTTGGGACAGAAAAATACCGGGTGTCCCAAAAAAAAGTACTCCGGTTTGATTCGTAATAACTTCTAAACAAGTAAACCTTTTAAAGAGAAATAACTTGCATCAAATAGAGGAAGGACTAACTTAGATTTTGATATATTACAGTTGTATTTGACTTAAAAATTCACGGAGATATTAATGTTTAAAATCGGGAGCATATTTCTGGATGTGTCTGAAATAGGCAAAAAACAGTGTATCAAATATTAATTATGATTTGCCCGACTGAAACATGCACGATTACCAGTAAATAAATAACACTTGACAAATTGTTTATTATGAAACAAAGTATTATTATCTACAAAATACAAGTCCGAAATCTGTGTGTGTTCCTAGCACGAATACGTTTCCTTATTTCATGAGACCACTGCATCACGAAGGATCGTCATGGACGTTCGTAGTTCTGAATTAGGGCATGCTGTCACAATGGAATTGTGAAGCTCTTCTAACTTCTGCAACGTTCTGAAATCTTGTTAAGAACAATCAAACTCATTTGCCTTTTCTTAATCTTTTTAAGTTCAGGATAAACTGAGAATGAAACACAATCAAGGCCATACAACTCCATCAGACATAACAATTAAGCATGCAACTCCCTGGAGACATCCAACATTTTTGGAACAAAACGTAACAAAATAGTAGCGTTGATACTGTGATGTGTATTTGCAAAAAGCAATATTATTTCCTTCATTGCAGAATAATATTCATCCTGCTCTAACCGAGAAATAATCAACTCTGTTTTGAACCCATGAAAAACATAAAAAAATTAGGCTAAGAAAAATTTAAGCGCCTGCCTTGCATGATCTTTCATGTACCGTATAAATTTGTAAAGTTTGTAAAGACCTATTAAATACTTGCATAATTTCGTACGTTCATATTTCAGGAAACAATGAGCTAAGACTTACATGTAAGAAGTCTAAATCTACGCCACATCCCTTGCAAACCCTAACGACATTTCGCTGAAATACAAGTTAGCCTGATATGTCATCAAGCAAACAAACGCTGAAGTTAATATTTGATATGCCGATTTTCGCTAATTTTAGACACATCCCAAAATAAGCTCCCGATTTTGAACATTAATATCTCCGTGACTTTTTAAGTAAAATACAACTGTAATATATCAAAATCTAAGTTAGTCCTTCCTCTATTTAATGCAAGTTATTTCTGTTTGATAGCTTTACTTGTTTAGAAGTTATTATAAATCAAACCGGAGTACTTTTTTTTGGGACACCCGGTAGTGAAAGTTCTCCTTTGTGCTACGAAATCCAAAAAGGAAATACAAGAATTCGGTATCAGTTCTAGTATAAATAAATACATGGAAGAAGTATTAACCACAGCTAAATTAAGAAAGGGTGCCAAAGCAAATGCAGAAAAAGTAATCGAAAAATTGAACAGACAATCTGTGAACATTCAGACACACATCTCTGATCTTGAAAGAAAATATGCACAGAATTCTGACAGTTGGACAAATCTTCAATTAGATGAACTGAAACAAGAGATGGATGATCATCGTGAAAAGTTGGAGGGTGTGAAACAACTAATCAATAAAGAAAACCCAAAAGCTATTCAGAATATGGTGAGGCAGCAGTACAAAAAGGATGTTGTGCAGCGACGGATAGGGATGAGAAAAGCAAGTACAGGTCGTCCCAAAGCATTGGATGAGGAAGATGAAAAGTTCATCCTTGAGTGCATTGAAAACAAGGCAACTGCTCATGTATGTCGTCATGACCCTGTCTTGTATATGAATCACAGGGTCAAGAAAAGGGATTTCTTAAAATTGGCTAACTACAGCAGGCATTCTAGAGGCTTGAAATCAATCAAATCTGCAACAACTGTTTACAACAGGGCACGACCTAGAAATCGTAGAAGCATTCAAGTGCAAAAACATTTGGGACTTGGATTATTTTGCAGCAAAAAGCCACCAAAGTTGCAAGAAAATGACAATCTTCTAACACATTACCAACGTGCCTTTAAGAAAGGTATATTGATGAAGCAGTGTCATGAATCAAATGGTGATGGATTGCTATACAATTTATTTATTTCCAGAGATGACAAAGCATATATCTGCCCTGGAACAAGTACTGGTGAGTCTTACAATAAATTTTATACAACGTCCATGCATGTGCTGTATTTATAAAAACTAAATTATAAAAAAAGTCTCATTTATAGCAAATACTTTCCGCCCGACTATAAATATTTAATACATACAAAGACCCTTCTTTATACCATATCCTATTATTATTATTATTATTGCAAATGTGTATAGATACAAAGTACTATGGAATATTCTCTTATATTAATTTTAAATGTTTAAAATATTCTGTGATAGTGAAAAATCAAACTATTTACCCTTTATTCATTGCTTTATATATTCCAAATTGCAGGTGTTCAGAGTGCAAGAAATATTCGGGTAATCCAGCCTACAGATGTGTCAAGACAACATGTTTTGCCAAGGTATGACTTCCCAAATAGACTTGTCAATGCTACCCCAAGTGTTAATAGGATCATGAAGCTCGATTTGCAAGAGGTTGAAGGAAGTCAAAAGATAAAAATTGCAAAAGATGACACAGTGGTTTTTAACAGACCAAAGTATTTTGTAGGAAGCAGTGGATCAGTATGGGCATCTGAATACATGAGACTAAGAGTGGTTGAGCCAAAGTTGTTCATGCTCGAGATAGAAAATCAATTACCTGCAAATGTTGTTTCACTACTTTTAGCAATTTTGGATCAGCTGAAATATTATATTCTTGGAACAAACCCAGCTGATGTAAGCAATATCTCAAATGATTCCAGTTGTGTTCATAGGAAGTATGAAGTTTGTAGGGCCACAATAGTTCATAAAACGCTAACTACGTCCATGTTTGGCCTTGATAATGAAGTTTTGACTGACCGAGTTAAAGATGTTAAATCCACCATCACTGCTGTAATAAACAGCTGCAATCAATTAACTGAACAGCTAAAGGAAGAAGGAGAGAAGATTGAAATTACAAGGACAATTCGTTCTCCTAATGAGAAATGCACAGATTGTTTACAGAAAATTCAGACAGTTATTCCAAAGCTTAAATCAAGGATTCATGAATTCACAGATGCTGGACGTACCTGGTGTTGGTGTAAACAACCTTGATGTTAAATTCCGAATGGCGCAAATAATTCAAATAACAAATGCCGACTTCTTTGTAAGACATCATCTAGCTAGTGGGGACAGCAGTCATAATGAGGTTGAGCGTTGCCAGAGTTATGTTGGTGATGCTATTTGTGATGGGGGTCCAATTGAATGGGAATACAGACAGCCATATGGACGACTATCCAATGATCAGCTTGCTAACATGACACTAGAGGAGCTTGAAGACTCAGAACATAACCGATTGAAATTCAATGCATTTAAGGTTTGTGATGAGCTTACTGATCGTATCAATGGTGCTCCAGCTCCTGGGGGATTTATGAAAGCATACACATCTGTTCCTTGTGATGAAATGTTTTTCAACGATGAGGACTATGTCCAAGACTACCTACATGCAACAAAACAGAAGAGAAAATCACTGCCTGGAGCAAATTATTTCAACCAAGTTATGTCATTTGTTGAAACCCACTTTGAACGTGGGGAGAAATACATTGAATTTGTAAAGTTCTCTTGCACGAAGTCAGAAGTATGTGCATTTTGTTCAACTCATGGCTGGGTTGGGCCACCATGTGAAACAGTTCCCAAACCTTATCCTAATTATGAAGCAGATGGTTTTCATTACCGAAGTGTTTTCGAAACCCCTGTTGAAGTTGATGGAAAAGATCGAGAAGTGGATGATTTCCAGCCCAGAAAGCAAGCTAGAGACCATGTAATAGAGGGAAACCTGGACAGGGATGAAGATGTGAAAGGATTCTGTGACAAATATATGGTTGAGGAGATCCTTTTGTGAAAATACCTTGATCACCTGAATTACTTGGATATCAGTAAAAGGAAGAGGGCAGAAAAGAAGCAGCTTCAAAACAGACAAGATGCAAACCGACAATTTGATGATTACGACTGGTTAGAGCTTTTTAACAGTGGATTGTTGAAGAAGCTAAAAGTATCAGATCTTGACAAGTATTTGAATCATTTTGATTTAAAGAATTCGCTAAAACTCAGGAAACTTGAAAAGATAAGAATAATGCAAACTCATATTGCAACAACGGAATGGTGAAGCTCAGCATGATCAGAGTGGCGAAGAAATTGATACAGATTCAGACTGATGAAAGTGGGGATGATCTTGTTATTGATGACACCCAAATTTCCGATGAACATACTGATACTGAGTCTTCAGACAGTGACATGGATACACATGAAAATGATGTGGAAGTTGAAGATATTTTTACTACAACAAGGAGTGGACGAATCACCACCAACTGGCGGGCTCTGAATTTTACGTGAGACATGGATCTGTAGTAACGAAAATGTTGCCAAGTACTGTAAGTACACTATGGCTGTTGTATTTATGCATATTTCGATATTTAAAATTTTAGTATATGGCCTATGGGGTACGAAATATTTTAGTCATATTTGAATGGGGCGCGAAATTATTTTTTTTACGTTTGTGAGGGTTGTCAAATTTTTTTTAAAAAATCAGGGGCTACTCTCCACCCCTGGGGTTGTAGATACTTTATGACCGGTCCCTAAAGCGATTGATAAAGGAGAATATACAATAGGTATATTCCTCGATTTGTCAAAAGCATTTGATACTATTAATCACAGGATTCTGGCTCAAAAATTACAACATATTATGGCATACGTGGAGTTACTCAACTACGGTTTGACAATTATTTAACAAACAGAAAACAAATTGTCAAGTACAATCACACTAGGTCAGAAGAAATGACAATTAAAACAGGTGTTCCACAGGGTTCAATTCTTGGACCAATTTTATTTTTACTTTATATATATGATATTGAATATAGTAGCAATTTACTTTTGTTTATACTGTTTGCATATGATACTAATATCTTTTATAGCAACAGCTGTCTTAAATCACTAAATAAGGTCATACAAGAAGAGGTGAATAAAGTTGCAGAATGGTTAAATGTAAATAAACTATCTCTAAATATTAAAAAAAACTAAATATATTATAGAATAGAATAGAATATATTTGCTCACAAAAAATATTTACAATGGAAATATAGTTATAAAATACAATAATATAAAGGAGCTAGGGACCTTTTGAAATCCTATTGGACTTTTGATATAAGGCCCCTATATTGTTTTGATTAAAATTAAATACATGAATCTAAATTGGTTCAATATATATCATATATGTTTTAGCTAACAATATTTATATTAACAAGTAATTTAATTTTGCGTTTTTCTTAAAGGAAAAATACGATTTTTGACAATTCGTCAAGGCAATTCCATATCGAAATTCCCTTGTTAAAAAACAGTGTGAACATGATAGTTTGTTCTTTTATAACTAATGTGTAATTTTGAAGAGTTTTGCATATGTAAAGTAACAATTGTAAAGGTTTGGCAAATTATGATCATAATTCACGCAGCAATACATAAATAGACTGCAAAGATGATCATTAATTTTGTAGATATTCAAGATTTTAAGATTAAAAAATAAAGGTTCTGAATGATCTGTATAAGACTTAAAACACATTAGTCAGACAATTTTCTTTTGTATCTTTAATAACTTCTGTAATCTTGTTGGATATGTATTACCCCAAACTAGATTTCCGTACGTAAGGTATGGATAGACCAATGCATAGTAAATCAATTTCAAAGTGTTTTTATTTGTATAATGTCTTAATTTAGCAATCATAGCTGTCGATTTAGTTATGCTTTTTAAAACTGAGTTGATGTGGTTAATCCATGTCAATTTTTGACTAGAAATACATGCATGCAATAACCCCTCGCCTATATCACCTATATTCTCCAAACGTTGTTTTAACATGAAGTATTCGTAAATATGCAAACACTGAATGCAGGCTCGCATTGCCACGTCATGTTAGTCCTGGCAACACAATATTTTTTTTTTATTTTTTCTGTACAAACCTCACTGAAACCTGCAAAAGTAGATGAAATTGAACACTTTTAAATACAGAACTATCAATTTCTAAAATATATAACGTAGGTATATTATTTTGGTTTCTATGGGCTTTATTTTAATGTAAAATTCGAAACGAAACTACGTATTAAAAAGTTTTTAAATGTGAATTGAAATTAATGGCTTTTTGCCGATATTGATCTCTTCAACTTAATACTCGCACTTTGAAATGAAATAAATTTAATTCGTACAGGACGCTAATGAAAATAATTTGCTTTCCTTTTTATCATGAACTTCTACAAAAGTTAATTTAACTAAGAAACGTTTGCATACAATGTATAGGAAAGACTTGAACAACAAGAACAAAATCTATATTAATACAAAGTCATGCATACATAAACAATTGAAACAAATTTGCCCTATACTTTAAAATTTATCATACTAAATCAATTCTTAGTTAATGTTTACCTTCAAAAATTGAAGAAAAGTTTTACAATTTGTTATGTGAAACGATTTTCCAAGCTTTCTTACATATATTTTTTAAATGTTCCCGTTCTTCACTCCTGGCAAACAGCCATATTTTGAGATCAGTGAGATGACCACCCATACACCCATGAACCGCGCCCGCGATATTTGATGAACTTTAGACTTCGCTAGTGCGATCCTTTTCCCAGGTGTAAATAGCCGGGGAGAATTAGTACCCTCGCACGGCGCTTCGCGCCATCGGCTCGGGGATCAATTGTGACACCTAAGAACTTTACAAAAGGCACCTGTTTAATTATATCATCATTTATTTTTATTGTTATCTGTGAATCCAGTGGTTTGTTTTTGCACTTGAAAATGACAAGTTTTGTTTTGGATGCATTGATATTGATAATTTATTTGCATTGAGCAATTGAAGTATCTTAGTTTATTTTGTATAGTACTAGATAATTTTCAAGCACGAATTTGAATAGAAAGCATTTGTATCATCAGCATATAAAACGAAAGAAATAATATCACTACAGTTCTCAATGTCATTAATGTATAATAAATAATAATGGGCCAAGAATTGAACCCTGTGGGACTCCTGTAGTAACATTCATTTCGGATGACCTATGCTGTTTAACTTTTACAATTTGAGTTCTTCCGTTTAAATAATTTGTAAACCATTGTAGACATGTTCCTCTGATCCCATAATGTTGTAGTTTGGAGAAGAGAATTTCATGGTTTACCGTATCGAAGGCCTTAGAAAGGTCAAGATAAACTCATATTGTGTATTTACCTTCGTCTAAAGCTTTTGAAATTTTACCAGTTAGATTTAGTAAGGCGTCTTCTGTAGATCTATTTCTTCGAAAACCATACTTATTTGATATGTTATGTTTTTCTACATAGTCACAAAAACATGTCAAAATCGATATTGGCCTGTAATTTTCAAATAGATTATTTTCATTTGCTTTGAAAATAGGAGTCATTAGAGCTATTTTTAGAAAATTTGGAATTTTTCCAGTTAAAAACGTTGAATTATAAATATGTGTTAGAGGTTTAACAATTTCTTCACCTATTGTTTTTATCGTCTTGGCGCTTATTTCATCGTGGTCTGCGCTTTTATTTTCATTAGAGTTATTAATTTCAGTCTGTAATTCATGTTCTGTTACAGGCTCAAAGAACATACTTTTGACATAATTACCACTAAGGTACCTTTCATGTGATATATTGTTGTTCTTCGGAATTTTTTTGGCTAGTTGAGGACCAATTTTAACAAAATATTTATTAAATTTGTTAGCAATGCCAATGGAGTCAGTAATGTTCCTATTTGAATTTTTCTGTAAAAAACTGTCAGGAAGTTTTTCTCTAGTTTTATTTCTATTTAGAACTTTGTTAATAGTTTGCCATGTCATTTTCATATCGTTTTTGTACTTAAAAAATTGGTTTTCATAATATTTTTTTTCGCAGTTTTAATAACATGATTCATTTTTATGAGATGTTTTTTTTGTCATTCAGACAAAAGATTTGTTTTTCATTTTTACAAAAGGAAAAGTCGTATCAATTGCTGCTTTTAAATTACCAAATGCATAACCACAGTACTTTAGCTTCATGTATGTTACTGTCATGGGGTACTTTCCGAGTGTAACAGACAATTCATTAGCAATAGGTAGAAGGATATCACTGTAGCTTTCATATATATGGTGATTACTCATTCGCATCTTCTTTGCAAGAAATATATTCTTTCAATTTGGGTTAGCTGATACAACTTTACAGGAGCTGTCCAAATTATGCTATTTTTTAGGTCCTTCAACAGGTGGAGTGGTGCTGTGGCTGTGAGTGCAAGAATTAGAATCTTTGGAAGAATGCACGTACGGTGGACAAACTTTTATAATCTTTTCTGAATTCTTTACCCCTTGTAAATAAACAAAATATTTCACTTGATAACTTTATCAATAATCAATTGTTTCACATTGCTTCATTCCGGATCATGCACCCCACGTCAGGCACGCGTGCTCGCAAAAGTTGTGAGATGATCGAAGTTCGTCAGTGGTAATTTACTGAATACTTAGTGTAAATTAAAATTTCTGATTTCCCGATGAGACACGTATTAATGGCTGCTATTTTGCCATTTGAAACTGTTCTAAAAGAAATATATTTGAATAACAATGATTCAGAATTATCCCCGAATCGTCCGCTTTACTCCAGTAGCAACGAAGAAGGCCCAAAATATGATTTCATCGGAGAAGCTGTCAATATCTTCGCCACTTGTGATGAGTTAGGTCAAAATAAGGTGCATTTTGCTCGTCAAGGGGAGAGCACTGACGCTTAATGGGGTAGTATAAGTGAAACACCACAAAATCTTGATTAACCACTAAGTTTACCTGTTTAACCAAACATCTAATTTTATATCTTGATCAAACGCACTGTAAGTTTGTCTATTTATCCGGTCCTCACCTATTTCCAGATCGAATAGAGAAGGGCTCAAAACATTGAGAATTTGTATGATTTATATATCTTTCAGGTCATCAGATTATTTACCGCTCCCTCTGTAGCAATAAAATCACAAAGTGATACTGAGCATGGCATTATAGTCAATTGTAGTAATGAAATATATGTCCCTCAAGCCTTGGAAGGTACGTTAGGAAAAGTCTCTCGAGTAAACTTTTATCAAATCTTCCTTGACTTCCGGATACAATTAATTAATCACTAATCGACCTGAATGCTATGCTACAGTATCACTTATAATGATAGAGAAAAGTAATAGATAAGCTGCCTTCTTACCAATTTCATCTTTTTGATATCTTTTATCAGCACAAATAAAAGATGATGTGAAATGTACAAGTGCAATGTACAATGTAAATGTACTATATTCACCCCATGATCAGTTCGTCAATTACATAGATATGACATCGACTTTATCCCCCCCCCCTCCCCCTGCATACAAAGATTACAATTTTAATAACATTTTTTGTTTATTCCTGTTAATAAATACATGTTTAAAAGAGTGAATAAAAGTGTCACTTACATCATTTATAAAACATACAAAAATATACATATATATATAAATATATATACATAATTAAATAAAAATAATATACAAATATATTATTAATAACTTAACAACTTTCAATAAATACTTCATAACAAATAATTTACATGTTTAAATATGTAACATTTTACCACTCAGATAGGAAGTGAATGACACTCACATACAAAAGTTATAACAAACATTTGTCGACAGTTAACTTTCCTAGCTTACACGATAACTCAATTGACTTTCTGTAAGGGTGAGAACAATAGCCACAAGAACTAACCCCAACCTTCCAACAGCCACACTCACAAAAACCATCAAGACCAATCCTTTTAGGAACATACTTTTCCTTGGAAACAGCATAATTACTTAAGTTATACCCTCTTTCCCTTAGCCATATTATAGAAATGTACTCATGGCGGAAAATGAGCTGCCACCGATTGCCATAAGTGCTATTTTTTGCATATCGGGAGATTGTGATATGTTTTGCCTCACGCCCCTACATGGAGTTTACCGCAAGTCCCTTTCCGTACTTGGATTTTACGTCTTGAGTATGGACAGGTATTACATGGCCTACAGTCCATACAGTTGGGGTGACTTTGCCAATAAATAGAGCATTTGCTCTGTAGTAATTCATACAAAAATTAGTCAAATCTTGAATCTCACTAGCAGAGATGGTCATTCTACTAAACAAAGAAACCGAATTCCTAAGTTGCAGGGCAATATAGGCAAAAACATGTATCCGAAACTTTTGTCTCAGTGTATCTGCAGGTGATTCCAGACACTCAGACACTAGGTACATAAAATTATGGAGAAACATCCTGGAATCCCTCCCAGTGAACCTATAATTGAACTCTTTGCTTTTTGCCTTTGTCTCATTGAACCAATGAATAATTTTGTTTGCTAAACGAGAAAGCTGGCACTTATGTTTCAACACATATATAAACTTATAAAATGCAGAACTACTTGGTACCGCTTTAAAGTTGGATATATTATCACCAAGAGCAGATTTACCAATTGCTTCACAAAGCATCTGCTTGTGAATCAATTGACAGGCATTATTCTTTACATGCAAAGGGTCATCATGGGCCCTATCAATGAGCCTGCCAATTGGTGGGTCAAACTCTTGCCTACTCTTACATCCTGCAATAAACGCTGTGACTAATTGCTACGCGCAGTCTACTCTGTTACTGACTTTTTGGTCAACTTTGTTTTGAAAACGCGAACTTTGTTAGCTATAGATAATCGTTGCTTATAATCCCACGGTTTCCATGCATTTGTGGGGGCTGGGCCAAAGGTTTTACTTACATCATGAACATCATCATTGCAAACATTGCCAAAAGTTGAAAAGTACTTTGCACTATTTGGGAGCTCCCCTGCTAGATATGCCAACATTTTCATGTCATTGGGAAGCTCTGCAAATTTAAACTTGATCACCATATTATTAATGTTAAATGAAGCCTTTTCAATTTCCTCAATCTCTTTAGTTATCATTGAAATATACTTGGCAACTGCTGGGCTTGTTTCACTACAATTGCTACCAAAGATAAGGAAATTTTCCTCGCTGCTTAAAATCTTATGACCGATGTTGAGAAAGCTAACTAACCAAGCACAAGACTGGTCAAATTTCCCAAATGGGGCCCCATCCCCACCAATAGCAACCTGAAAGGTATAAGGCTCATTAAACCAATCTATATCAGATGCAGGTAAGGCAGAAAGATAAAATAGGGCCAACCTTGGAAGAAACTCAATCAATTTCCTATAACAACCATCCACCTTTTCTCCACA